GTGAAAGGTCTGCGTAAAGCATTGCGCTACTAGTCTCTGCGTAGCTTTGGTCGTAGGATGTTGTGCAATTTCATGGGTGCCGAGCAGGGCCAGGCAAAGCCACGCTTCTGACTTAGTTTGACTATTGACTTGGAGTGTCAGGACACGGAGGCGCATGCTTGGATCGATGGGGAGCGTTATGCTGCTGAGCTCGATGGACTTTTCTGAGGGGGGTCAGAATGAGAATCCTTTCAATTCTCGTTGTGGCAAGGTCGCCAGCATAACGCCCTTAGGGGAATGGCTGCACGATTACAAGAAGGGCGGCACAAACAGCCGCATGCAGCTGCGGTCCCTTTGCTGATCATTACATTTAATTGAAAATGGCAGCTGCATCAACTACATCACCCCACTACCCCTTCCAAGCAAGGTACTGCAGCATCCAGCTCCAGCACGGCGATGAGACTTTGACAGGCTACGCGCTGAACGAGAGATGCTTTGGTGTCCTGGGCTGATCACTTCCAGGATGCCTTGCATATCTGAAGTGCGGCTCATCTACCAGACACGTGCGTTCGCACAAGACAAGACTTTTGGTGGCCGCCAAAGGGCGTGTTGGCTTGTGATTGCAAGGTCACAAGCATCGCCTCGGCAAAAATAACTGCAGCTACACTTGTTGTGTCCAGCGCAATAAGAAGTGAATCCGTTACCCTGAGAGCATGGATACATCCATCTGGCTATGTTTACAGGTATCTTCTTGCCGAACAGAGCTTGCAAGTAATTGCCTCCCCTCTTCAACGAGCTATCTTGCAAAGTCCAGGCCACGCATCCTAACCCGCAGCGCTGAAGGACGTTGACTACGCCGTGGAAGATGTTGATGAGACTGCTTCCGAGTCCAGTGATTTTGCGATCTCCAGGCACAGTCAGCACAGCTGCGGAAATGTGCTGCTGCAAAATGTGGTTTGTACCTTCTTGTTCAGGACCTTTAGTCGCTTCTTTACAGGCCGTTGGGTTCCTTTTGGTTTTTCCACAACGATCCACGACCAAGACTCGCCTGATGCTGTAGGCTCAAAGGCTCCAAAAAACGACCTCGACCTGCCCGATGCCGTTGACACACTTTGAGAGTTTGTACCAGGGGATTTCGTTGGACACCCAATGAAATTTTTCGCACGGCTCCTTTCACTTGAACTTGCCAGGCTCCTCACCAAAGGCGGCATGGGACAGGGGAGGGGTGTAAAGAGAAGCATTCAACCAATTGACGAGCATTTTTTGGGAAGGCCTTACTCATGCGGGTCACCACGTCGTAGTTCTCGCAGGCTTTCCGTACCTGGCCTGCTGCCCTTGCACCCTGCATTGGAAATTTGGAAAGTCAATGGCATGCATGCAGCGGCGGGGAGAGAGAACTGGCCGGTGTAGAACTCGAGGGGCGTCAGTTCCGTTGAGTTCGTGTCGATACATCCAGCCCCACTCAAACCTACTCAAACCATCTGATAGCTATATAGTGCTTGTTTGTCTAACTGAGGGGAAGGCCAGACTTGAAAAGCGTGGCAAAGGCGGGAAGGAAATCAACACACATTGTTTTTTGCACGGGTCAGCTTTGCTCTGACGTAAGAAGGGGAGTGCCATCCTAAATGTGATCCAAGCCTGCTGGAGATTCCTGGGGCTCGGCGAGAGAGCCGAAGCGGCGGTGGGGAGATGCCATGAGCTACCATACTTGCACGGGCGGGCCTTCTCAACTGTATGGACCACTGGACATTTCAGAACCGGGGCACGAACTGCACGGGAGGCTGCGCCCTCGAAGCCAGAAAGAGAGAGCCAGGAGAGAAGAAGAGAAAAACAGGAAAGTGGCTTCGAGTATTGGTGAGAGAGCAAGTGCGATTTTTGCATTGCAGGAAAATCATCTTCTGGGCGGGCTTGGCCTATGCTGGGCTTTGTGCTGCTCTCACTTCATCACTGGAGGTCGGAGGAGTCATGGGGGGTTTGACAGACCCCACGGCCATTTTACGTAGCTTGCAGAAGCGACTCAAGGCAACAGTCAGATGTTCAGAGAGTCTTCGCATAGCACGCCATTATGTTCTGGCATGTTTTTGACAGACATGCCCCAGAAAACGCAAAATTTAGAGGCCGGAACAGCGCTGGTTCTGGAGCGTCAGCTTCGGATCAGCGCGCAGTCCATCGGGTTACTCGCAATTGTTCAGAAGCGGACTGCGAAGTCCATAGAGATAAGGCCGAAAGATGCCTAAAAGCGTGTGCTTTGGATGTTGCGCGGTCAGAGCGATGGGAACTGGGCAGTGGGGGCGTGGCGCATGGGGGTATATTGGATGAATTTGCAGATAGAGTGTGTAGGTTATACTTATGGGGTATAGACAGGGTGCACAGGTAAATATGGATTTGGAAAAGGGTACATAGCGTATAAGAGAGAGATAATCTGCAGTGTCGATTGCGAGTGTAAAACAACAAGCAGGTCAGATGGATTAGCAGAAGCTGAATGGGGGAGGAGAAGGGGAGAGGAAGAAGGTGAAGAGGAGGGGCGGAACCAAGGGAGGGAGGAGGGGGGCGAGATCGTCGCCCAGAATCCAGGCTAGCTTTCGTTATCCCCGTTGTTTGCTAGGGCAACCTTGGTGGTCGTTTAACCACCGTTCATTCATTCACTCCTTCCTTCCTTCCGTCCGTCCTTCCTGCCTTCATGCCTTCATGCCTTCATGCCTTCATTCCTTCATTCACTCATTCACTCATTCACTCATTCACTCATTCCTTCATTCCTTCATTCACTCATTCCTTCATTCCTTCATTCACTCATTCCTTCATTCACTCATTCACTCATTCCTTCATTCCTTCATTCCTTCATTCCTTCATTCCTTCATTCCTTCATTCCTTCATTCCTTCATTCCTTCATTCCTTCATTCCTTCATTCCTTCATTCCTTCATTCCTTCATTCCTTCATTCCTTCATTCCTTCATTCCTTCATTCCTTCATTCTTCATTCCTTCATTCACCCATTCCTTCATTCACTCATTCACTCATTCACTCATTCACTCATTCACTCATTCACTGATTCACTCATTCACTCATTCATTGTTCGGTCGTAGATGAACTATATACACGCAGTGACATGCTGCATTTGCACAGCTTGTCTAAGGCTTCTGCTGGGTAGCGCCTTTTGTGTTGCCGCGCCACTCACTGTATCTAGTCTGCACCTGGAGTCGTGTTGCTTGCCAGTGCCTTCATTGGCATTTGACGGCACGGGAGTTTGCAAAGGTGATGCTGAGCTGGGTGCTGCCAGCCGAGAGGCAACACCACGCTGGAGCTGCTACGCCATGAACTGGCATGGGAAATTTGTAGTCCTGATCATTGGCAAGTAGAGAAACTCCTTCAACTGCAGTTAACTGAGTTACTTGAGTTGCAGCCAGGCCATGGCCGCTGTGCGCAGCGATGATACCCTTGCTGCCCACCGTGCCCTTGCAGAGTGTAGCTGGTACTGGCTGGTAGTTGCGCGCAGCAAGCGCAGCAATCATTCCAGATGCCCGAGTTAGGTTACAGCTCCCACAACTCCATCTCTCATTCAGTGACATCCGCAATACAGTTGTTCCGTGTAGCTCGACAAAGCCTGTCCACAGCGATGATTCTAGTTTTGCCTGCCAAGGTCTTCCTGTTCGGAGGGAGCTATACGCTCCTAGGTCTTGGCGACATGCGGCTTTATGCTATGCTCCTTTGCTCTGAACCATGGATGATCATACACATATATATATATTTGGACATGCATCGTGTTCCAAGACATCTGCATTCTGTCCGATTCAGGCTAGCAGCTGATGTGGTGCTGTTCTCCTTGGCTCTTTGCATCAACGGCATTGCCTCTCTTCTGATTCTGGAATGACAGGCATGAGAGGCACAACTCTCGCATCAGCTTCGACACAACAGTTCAGGTGGACGCAGCTGCATTGCAGCATTCCAGTGGAACTCGATTCTATTGTGCGAAACTGAGCTGTCTTTGTCGCAGTCGTTCTTTTCCGATGCCATGTGGATTTCATTTTTGCGTTGTCAAACTTCTAAAGGTCGGGAGAACTACATCATCGCCGCCGCCACGCTTCGCGCAGCTACTTGCCTTTGGAAGGAGGGGGTAAGCAGGGCCACCAAAGGCAGACATTGGGCCATCATGAACAGTCCCAAGATGGTGTGCACGCAGATCATGTTGTTGATATCTTAAGCTCCTTAAAGCCATTTTTCTTCCAAGGCAGGCAGCTTCCTGGGTCCGCCTGCTGTCCGCATTCTTGCTCTCTCGGGCGAGGTGGGCACCGGCCCTTTTGCAAATGTTTCCGCACGCACTTCTGCGACATCCACAGCATCCACAGTCTTGTCTTTACGACCTGTCTTGCTTGAAGTGCAGCCATTCAGGACGCTGGCGCAGCTGCTTGGTTCTGCTGTTGTATGCTGTTGTGCTTGAGTTGCTACGTTCTTTAGCATTTCTTTAGCAAAGGCGACGGTAACTCTCAGCGTATAGGAATACAAAGGCCCCTCGCCAGCTTTATCGTCATACGCTCACACCTGGAATTGGAGAGTCCAAGTCAAGCTCAACACACAATGGTGCGAAAACCGCGAGAAGAGACGTTACATCACAAAGTACGTCATCTGATCGAAACGTCAGCGAAAGCTTGTTCACATGTGTTGAGGCCATGCAACTCGTCTTGGTGCTGCACCTTGGAAATGTTGGTCTTGGTTACCTGCTTGACTGAAGCCTCATTCGGGCTTCAAATCTTGAATGTGTCACGCCCTCCCTCTTGAGCAGCGCTGTCCCGAAACAGCCGTAGCAGCCATAGCTAACCGGGATGCGCGTGCACCTTGACATGAGGGAGTACATAGTATGCGCATAGACGTCACTGCTATTACTTGGAAGCCAGAATCGAGTTGTACCACGTTGGACCGACCTCTGCTAGAAGCGAGCCACTCTTGGGCTGGATGGGTCTTGCAATGACCCGCGTTAACCATGCCATGCATGTTTTGTTATAGAAAGCTAAAAAGAACTGTCTAGGCGTGCTGACAGCAAGTACCTAGTCATTGATTCCCCCACCAGTAGCCGATCAAGTCAGCACTAGTCCTCAGAACCGGAACGTTGTTAGTGTCCACGTCATGCCCAAGCCCGCCATACCTGCAAGATAACTCGCACATCCGTGACAAGGCTGTCCATGAGCTGCGTGGGCATAATAAAATACCTGGGCACGTGGCTCCATGATACAGCGACTCGGCAAAACGCACTTGGATGTTTCCTGATGCTCCACAGTGGTTGAGACGGTGTATCAGTTGCCGCCAATCCTCGGCTGGGGTCATCAACAAAGACTCGGCCTGAATCCCAAGGAAGCAGACCTCCTGGCGGCCCAGTGCCGGCTGAAAGACAAGGCGCACGCGCGAAGCATCGCTACGAATGCTCTGTACAAGGCAGTCGCAAAACAAGACAAGGCACCGAGAAGTGTTCTAACATGCAACAAATTTACACTGGTTCGTCTGTTATTTCAAGACGACATAGAGCAAGCAGTTCTGGGCAACAGACCGAGTTCCCGTGTTTGGACTGCAGTGCCCTTCTTGAAAAGGTCGTCTCCCATCGTGAGTGATGGCTGCCAGCCCTGCAGAATGCCGACGTTGATTCGCACGTTTCACGCACCCCCTGTGAGCGACATGTGCCGCAGCCCACAGCCTGTAAGACTGCCTGCGCTCAGTCGACCACCAACCTTTGTGAGCTCCGTTTACTCACGTGCGAGTTGAGCTTGCCCAGTGCATCTAGATGGTGATTCTCAGCAATGGTTTCGCTTATCAAGGTTGGCAAGTCCAGATCCTGGTGCTTTCGGGTGGACTGAAAGTCCATGGGATCTTCCAGAGCAACTTGCAAGCGCCAAGCTGAAGCCTAAAGAGCACGATGATGTCCTCGCGGACTCTGCTGGTTTCACGCCATGCCCTCAAGATCTCCCAAGTGACTCCCACAAAAATTATCACCACCTAGCAAGGACTGCAACGTAATGCAATGCCCAACTCTCCAGGCAAAAGCAGCCCTCGGTTCCAAGAACTGTGCATCGGCTCCGATGGCTCCGAGAGTGAACCCGATTCCTCGACCATCATGTAACCTACTGCAACATACTGAACAAGGGTGGAGGGGAAACTGCCGTACGCGGACTTGGCTGCCTCGCCGTGTCAGGATAGGACGATTGGCCCAATAAATGCTCAGACTACCCCCTCACCTCACTCCGTATTTTGTCACCATCATTCATGATCTGGACGTCGAGGAAGCCCTTGAAAGGTAGCACGATGCAAAGGGCACATTTAAGCCGGAATGGCGCAGCAACACTTCGCTTTGTGCAGTGAGGTCTGATATTTGTTTTGGATTGTTTTGGCTGTTCCCGTTTGGGGCAGTTTGGGGCTTTTCAAACTTTTCGCTCTGGGTGTCCGAGGTGGGTCCTGGCCGCGGAGATCACTCCCGAAAAGCCAGAGGCCGGCTGTTCCTCTATGAGTCTTAAGTGATGCGTGTTAAGGCGAGGTTTGCCTCAACGCATCTTACTTACTTCATTAGGCTTGATTGCAAGATGTCATAGTTGGCTTCGCAGTTCAACAGCCGCGAATGCCTTGCATTGGATCAGATCATCAGGTGCTGCATTAACACAAAAGCACCTTGCGTCTAAGCTGCATCCACTAATGTACAACTAATGTACAGCTTGTGATGGCTGCAGGCCTATCATTTCTACATCACTTTGCCCGCCGGGTCAACTCCCCAGTTGGTGATCCTGCACCCATGCAGTCCATGCGTGTCAGCAAGGCGTTGGCCTGAGTTGAAACGAAAGGGTTGCAGGGGTGGCCACATCATGAACAGACGACTTTCGCAAAGCTGTAGCTCAGCCCCCCCCCCCCCCAACTTCCTCGAACATTTACCAGCTGCAAGTGCAAGGATGGAGGTGGAGATTTTCTGAACACCTCCTGCAACATTCTGACGCGGGGGTCCGGCGTGGGCTTTTTGACTGCATACCAGTTGCGAGTGCGGACGTCCAGGCTGCTGTCGTTTCACAGGACCGAGACGGGCAAAGCCGCTTCTCGCTGTCCCACCATAAACAAGCGCAGATTTGAATCTGTCCGTGCGATTCTGACAAACCTCCAGCTCAGATAAACCCATATGCAAGCCACCATGTAGGTAAAAGTATGTGTTTCAAAACTGTTTCCCTACAGCCTTCCCACTTTCGCTGCTAGTAGCTAGCAGAAGTAGATGCAGCCGAATCTTGCTCAACACGTGGCAGGCTGTGCAAAAACCGACCACGTGCCTTTTCCCACTTGCATTGCTGAAAGAGCCGTGTCCACGTCAAGCTGTGCTGATGCCGATGGTTTCTTTTGCTGTGCTCGACTGGCAGTTGAGGTCAGCAAGCAAGAAACGATTTCGCCACTCATGCATTTCACGGGTTCAGCGTTTTATAGCATCACCATAAAGACCAAAGACGCCCGAGAAAGTTTGCCGGTTCTTGTGTTGCCACTGTTTGCCAGCCAGCGTAGAATTGTCTTGTTCCACCTTCGAATTGGCGATGAAGCCGACAAGCTGACGCCTGTCTTGCAAGATGCCCAGACGTCCCGCGGAGATCCCGCCCGACGACGAGTGGTCGCAGGACGGATGATCATCTGCTGAACAGACCGAACTAAAAAGCTTCTGCAGGAGGCAGCCAAAACGTTTTGGTGGGGTAACTGGAGGGTGGGCGCCTGAACTGAACTTGCATCAGGCCTTCATGCATGCTGCATGTGGCACTGGCCAAATCATGCTTATGCTTTGCCTCGACGCCAAGGACCCCAGCAATTGCCTGTTTCCGTGGCTGTATGCAGATGGACGGCCTCGTTTTTCGCTAAGCCATGCGGAGGGGTGGTAGCGCTGTGATTCGCAATGCCACCTATGTCTTGGATCTCGACCTGCATTTCAGGTCCGACTTATCCAATGAAGGCATCCTGAAGAGCTTTTCGCCGAGTTCAGTATGCATGCACCAACAAATGTCACTGGAGCAGATGTGCAACTTAGAGCTTGCGGCATAGTTGCGATGGCGGTGGGGTGGGGGGAGGGGGAGGGGGGGGGGGGGGGGCGGGGCGGCCACAAAATTGTGGCTTGCAGGACGACTGGGGTGTGCAACCCTTTCCTGTCCGCGACTTGTGGCAGCTTGCAATTGCACATCGCATGTGGGCAGAAGATGGCGCTCCAGGTCGACTATGATTGCGAGTGGGCGCAGGGAAGGCCCCAATGGGAGGCAGGGGGCATGTGCAAACAGCTCTCGCGCGTAAAGATATCTGAGAAGTTTTAGCGCATGGCCGCGCTCATTGTTTGCCACTTGGTTTGCGTGGTACTTTTTTACTGCCATGCACAGGTGAGTGATGGAATGATGCGAGTCATATCTGGCTGAGTTTTCTGCCAGGTGTATTTGGATGCATATGATGCATGGAATCGAGAGACTTGCCGGCTGATCGAAGTTTACAGACGCAAGGCGTGGATTGTGTTTTGTCGGTGGATAGCATGTTGTAGCATGGAATCGTGTTGGCTTCGGATAGGTGGAGGAGATGGACTATGAAGAAAGTGTGGAGGTGTCGCTGGGGCCGTGCATTGAGAACCCTCCCTGAGTGATCAATAGTGATCAGACGTCCGCCTGCTCAAGTAAGACGCAAGTCGTTGGTTTCGATGAAGGTTTACGAGGGCAAATTTCCGGACGTGCCAGAGTATCCCACGGCGAATGCAGCAGCCACAGTAGATGATGACGGCCGTTACTTCACCAATCTGCCAAGTGTCAAGCCTGGTCAACCAACCATGCGTTGTGTAGCAGTGCTGCAGCTTGGGTTAGTTTGTTCCAATGTGTTTGAGAATTGACTGCAGGCCAATGTACTCATCGCCGCGGCAGAACCAGATGTTGTTGCCGGGAGCCTTTGAGCAGAGAGTTTGCATTCAACATTTTAGCACGTTGAGCTGCCCGCCAAAGTTGCCGGTGACGTTTTCCAAGGCTCTTGCAGATGCCTTGGAAGACCCAGACAGCGATGCCAATTGTAAGGACTCACGTGCATGTGAAGCGGACAACGCGTGACTTGTTGTGCAACACCCCCATATCAAATGACCTGAGCAGCAACAGCAGCAGCAGCAGCAAGAACCACAACAAACACAACCACAGCAACAACCAGAACCATTTGCTTGCCAAAAATTGCCAGGATTGTGGTCTTTGGACGCCGCTGATGTATGCCGCAATGGCCGGTAGCCTTGAGTGTGTCGAGTGCAAGCCCCAGCTTGGAGCAGGTTGGTGGAATTGGTGTAAGGTGCGGGAAAAAATATGAATGAATGTTTTGGCAGGTACCTCATGGATAATGGCGCAGACCTCGATGCGCGCAACAATCAACAGGCCACTTCAAGTGTGTGATGATTCGGATTATACTGAAGGTATGAATTCCAAGCTTTTGTTCCAGTTTATCCATCTTCCGGTGTCATTTGGGAGGACACTGCCTACGACATCGCTATCCAGGCGTTTGCGAAGAAACAGCAAAATTCTCAGAGCTTTGCAAGTATGCCTGCATAGTTGTGAAAGAGCTGTTAGTCGATGATGAGACCATATGATGATTCCAGGTCCGATCATCCAGTGTTGCGCCTCTTCCGTGAGGATGGGGAGTTTTTCTTGCTAAGCAACCCAAGAACACCCTTCATTTTTTGTCGCACGCTTGGAATCAAGCCGCCAGCAGGGCCATGTGAACCTAGGCTAACCCTAGGCAGCTTTCATCCTGGAATCCAGTTTCTTGTTCACAAGTTCCTCAGACTGACGGTTCTGTCCTTTCAAAGCGTGTTTGCAAATTTTTCTGTTAAAGATTCATTGTTTGAGACTTTTTTGCCCCCACATTTGGCAAAGCGCCAGGCTGGTGCACCACGTGGTGCCGGTTGGAGAGCAACACTTCCGACAGAAGAGTGGCGGTGAGGAAGGGCAAAAATCCACATCATCAACTCTTGAACTTAACTTGCAGCGTCACAACGAGGTTTCGATTTAAGGCTGGTGCCTGCCTGCAGGGTTAAACGGTAGCTACTAGTACAGGAACAAGGGCCCCTTGCATGCGGAACTCACCATCACCCACCATCGCCGGCTGCACAGCTTAGCAGATTTAGCAGTGCGATGCAGCGCACCGCAATACACAATGGCTGTGCCCATGATTTTCTGGAATGGCGAGTTGCCTGAGTTGCCACTGCCGCTCGGCTGTTGCGCAGTTTGCCGAGAGTCACCCATATGCACATGATGCACATGTCGTCACATTTCTGTAATTTCCATCAGGTCCTGGATGGTATGTGCTGCATGTTTCCTTATGTTGCACTGCCTCCTGTCCTGGCAGAGCTTGCCTTCTGGCCGTGTCAAGCCCACCATGCTAGACAAGGATAAACAGTTTTTTGTATTCTCTGTCCGTTTGTTAAGCACTTGCTTCAACCATCCGTCGCGCTCAAGATCCACACCGAACATGTCAGGAGCAATCCGAGCAATTGGGCTGCATGTTTGCTCGAACCTGGTCTATAGCCTGCCGCTACATGGTGCATATGCATTTGCTTCCGCTTCTTGGTGGCATGATGCAGTATCATCAGCGACGACATGACTTCCGCTGCCTTGGATGGTTCGTATGCCTTTATGTGGGACATGCAGTGTTCCTGCTCGTTGCCAGAGGTTCTGTGCCGGCAACCCCAAAGCACGCCAGGTATACATGCAGCGCGATCCATTTTTTGGTGCTGGTGTGCGTGATCTGCAGCACCGGAGAAGAGAAAGATGACTATGTAGCTAGGAGAGACTTCCTCATGCAATGTCAGGTCATCCTTGCGATCGTTTTTCCTGATCGCACGGTGTTGTGCCTGTTTGCGCCACTTTTCCTTGCAACATGTGTGGGGACCACTGCTTTAGTCTGTGGTTATGATGCCTGCGGCATCTGGTTCTGGGAGCAGCAGCTCTTCCACATTCTTCTTACATGTCTCATCGTTCCGATGGTCACTGAGTATATCCACCGAGAGCGCATTGAAGCTTACATTCAAGCTCAGAATGCTGACTTGCTTGTGCGTCGTGCCGGCAAGAAGATCGGACAGTTACCAAACTCTGGTTGGCAGTCCAGGATGGATGCTTTCAGTAGTCACAGATTAAGACATGAGATCTAAAACGAAGTTTTGCAGACAATGTTGCTGCATTCTAGCTTTGTGTGCTGGTTGGGGCATGTTGCGATGCTTTTCATCAAGGAATGTGCTTTGTGTGCTGCCCGCATCAGGTCAGCTTTTCGTCGCATGCTGAAGGGCGTTTGCGATGGCGATTTGCTTCTGGACGGGCAGGCAAGAATTTGTGGAGATTCTAGCTGCTTGCAGCGTCTCTTGGGCACACAGGATGAGTTGACCGGCAAAAGATTTTCAGACCTGATTGACGAGCACCAGCGTTTTGATGATTTTCTGGCCGAATCCGCCAAGAAGAACGCAAACCACCATGGCACTCCGCGGTGCTGCCGCGTGGCTTTAAATGGAGCGGAACGAGAAGTTCCTGTTGATGTTTTTCATGTGGAGCTTCCAAAGCGCCTGGGTACCTCGGCCGACTGTCATCTCCTGGCTTTGATCGAGGATGCAGATGCTCGGCTACGGGCCGAAGCTTCGCAGAACCTCCACGCCGACCCCGCACAGAACCCGCTCGCCCACGGGCCCGGGCCCGGGCTTGCCCTCTCCGCTTCAGAGAGCCAGAGCAGTTGCTCCAGCGAATCTTACGAGATGTTCGAAGAATTGTCCCAGCTCACTTTGTTGCTGGATTGCAGTACGGAGATGATCGACATCAAAGAGGCACATGCGCGGTTCGCGCGGATAACCGACGAAGCGCATATGAAGCTTGGAATGCCGACGTTGAAGCGGCTCATCCGCCCTTCGGACTGGCCTGCAGTACAAGCCCAGCTGTCGCACCTTGCACATCGAGGAACTACACACAAGGGAACCGCGAGGTCACAGACACTTCCACCTATGATGCTCCGAGTCCCCGGCGAGCAGAAAAGGTATGTTCACGCAAAAGGTGCGTCGGTCAAGGCAGCATACTCCGGCTTCCGCCCGCAAGGCGTGCCGGCATATCTGCAGCTGACGCTGAACAAGTTCCACAAGCGCCAGGTCATGGCGGGTGTCCATGAAGATCCCTTGGAATATCTTGCAGCCAATGATCTGAGCTACCCTGGAGACGTACAGCGACAGGACATGTGCAAGCGGGAGAAGTTGCTCAAGGCTCGTAAGGAAGTGAAACGGCGTTTTTGTTGTTGGACATTCTCGAAATGGGGGGGGGGGGGGAGTTCATTTGAGAGCTGGGGAGCAGGGGATGCCGGGGACTACCCAACGACCCGTAAAGTCTGCAGGTCCGGGCGTCAAGGTGCAAAAGCCGTAACTTAACCTTGAATAAACCTAATCATCATGAGCCCTGTCCCCCCCCGCGGCCCCCCAACATAGCGGTGCAGGATGGATGGAATTCACCCTCCAAATCGCCCTCCAGATCTCCATGTCCCCAAATCGCCTGACTCACCTGATCCTGTGGGAGTTTGCGTGCACAAACATGTCCAAACGTTTTCTTGTATTTTCTTGTAGAACCTCGATGAGCCATGGCTTGTTACCTGGCTCCGGGACGGACTTTAGGTTTTTTCGAGTTGCGGCCTAGGATCACTACTGTCATGAACATGCTCATGGTGTCACTTAGCGGCTACTCGCTGTTGGTTCCCAACAGATGTCCGCCCATCATACTGTAAAACACTGAAAAACTGCTGGTGCAAAAATGGAGCGCGGACCACTTGTTGTGGTGAAGCTGCTGCAGAATAGTTCATGCTTTTGAACTGCGCTACACAGGTCACGAATGTCCATGATCAGTTGCGTTGCCGCCCGCTGTCGCAGTATCAAGCTCCAAAAGCGGCTGCAAGTTCGCAAGCCACAGGCCAGCTTCAACTAACCCACCTCAAGGCCAACTTAAGAACTCAACCAAACACAGGTGACATAGCGTTCTCGGCCTACCAGATCCTGCAAAGCATTTCACAATTCTTTGCATCTTGATGCGTTTGTTGCCAGCATGTGCGTTGCTCATCAGCCCGTGCACTGGTGACTGGCGGCACGTACTTCGGTCTGCTTCGTCCGATCCTTACCACTGGCACGGTGGCTTGATGTTTCATGTGTGTGGCTACGTGCTGAGTGGGGTTGCAGACAGTCGTTTGTATGTCGTTTGTCCTCAAAATTCGTTTGCGGCTCAACTTTCCGGCTGTGCTAACGATTGCACGTTTAAAAGTATTTGTAGGGGGATCTTGTCGGGAGAGCACAGTTGCTCAGTGAATCCGAACCGTTTCAACCTGTAAATTTGCTGAGGCATGCTGTTGTTGTGGATGAGGAAAGGCGCAGCATGGCACGATACGAGCAGCACATAGCATCATACAACAGCAGCTTCGCCGTTCGTTTGCTTCCCGAAGTGTGCAAGCTTCTAATATTAATGTGTGGCCACGGTACAACTCTAGGTATCACATGTAGATGGCACAGATTATGCAGATTGTACATTGTACATTGTCCATCCACGCGGCATCAGCTCCACTGTGCGCTGTGGTCACTATGCCAACCAAGGAGATGCGCCCGCCGGGCCACTTCTGTGGACTCATCACGTTCGACTTGGTTCGAGCAAGGTAGCCGGGCTTTCCAAAGCCATCCTTGGAGTACAAAATGACATGACGTCACAATACATCAACATCGCATTGCATCGCAGAAGCAGCTGAGCGATCATCTTACCGAGAGTGAACACTGAGAGGCCACTTGTGAGCTGCCGGCCCCATACTTCGGTCGCCGGAAAGCTGCGGAGCGCACGGCGCGATTGGCAGCTCGGCAGGACGCCAACACGTCACAAGGTGTTCATGAACCTAGGTATGCAACAGTCAACATCATCGAATGCCTGAGACTCAACCCTCATCTCACCTGAATCCCGTCCGGTCCAACCGAACCGGCACAGCCTGTCGGAACCTCTTTTGTGCAAACTTCAGCAGCTCGATCTGAGATCTCACATCAAGTGCGACGCCCAAATTTCCAAGAGCCTTACACAGCAGTTGCTGTCCATTGCGGTCCCCAAATTGGAGATTTGCATGGATGTGTTGTTTTTTAGATTCTCCTGGTGGGTCGCAGGCGCCCCGCCGAAAGGTCTCCCCTAACCCCCCCCCCTCCCCCCAAAAAAAAAAAAAACCTGTTTAGACGCTGTCGGGGCTTTGCCCTGTGCACGATCTTCCACTAGCAAAGACAGCATGTAAGTCGGCTGTGCAAGCTCGGTGCTCCTTAGCTTGCCTCAGGCTCGCTGGGCGCCGCTACGCCATCGATGTCATTCATGGCGCAAGTCAGAGGAGGAGCTTCCATTGCATGCATCAACGGGTCTATGAATGCTTACAAAATGAGAAAATATTCCGCAACAAACTGCTCTTGCATATTTCGTGTTGACCGACCGTGCTGCGCATCAACGAAAGACTGCGCGATGCTTCGTACGCACTACAGAGCCAATTAAGGATGCTCTCAGCACCGTCTCGAACAGCGAGATCCAGTGGGTGTATCGCAACTTGGCCACGCGAGGGTGCCGGTGATTCCATTGGCTGGCTTTACATCCAAGCTGCACCCAAGAAAACACAGGCAGAACAACATTGAGAATGCGAAAGTGCCCTTGACTTTTTCGAATCGGTTCATTGAAGACATACTGCTCCCAGCCCATTGTTCATCGCGGTGAAAAGTTTTTCTGCAGTAGTATTAGGAAACCTGAAAGCATGCAAGTGATTTGCAGGATCGTTTTCAGCAAAGGTGCTTCAGGTTTGTGGCCGTTGGAGAATTTGTGCAGGTGAACTTGCCCCAACGAAAGTGCAACAGCGCAATTAATGCTGCCCTGCACCTGGTTAACAGAGGGTTCCCCTTGTCTTTACCCGAAGAAACTCTAAGACAACAAAGGATTCATGAAAGCGAGCTGAGCCCCAAAGCAGCGTCACAAAGGCGACCTCACGACCAAAGTTAAGGTTGATCATCGGTTTAATGTCATGCTTTGCTTACATCTTGTGGGCTCTTGGCTTCCTTAGAGTTCCTTGGCCTCAAGGTCCGAGCAAGGCCTGAAAAGGCCTTAAGGCCAAGCTGGTTTCCTTACAGGTACCTTGCACCATAGGATTCCTTAGCAGCATTTCATGGAGTCCCAAAAGACTTCGAGCAGCCTGCAAGTGTAGTGAATGTAGCAAAGTAGTGATGAAGCCGCTGCAAGGTATTTGCTTCTCGACAGAAGCTATGGCGTTAGCCCCGGCACCGTGGTTGGACCGCCTGGAATTAGGCTGGGTCGCAATGTCGCGAAAACGCTTGTCACAAAATGTTGATGACCTGCTGTGAAAGTTCGACGTATCATGTCGATTGTGTGAGCGATTTTCTGTGTTGACGGAGCGTTCACTTGACCCAGTTGCAGTTCAGTGATATTGAGTGAAGGCTGGTACAACGAAAGTTTGGATGAATACCATCCGAACGGCTCGGTGACCCTGCACTATGTGACGCCCAGCAGCAAATGCCAACATTATGTGTAGTGGTGTCTGAGAAGGGATTCATTCTTGTGGGTTTTTTTGCCTCGCATGTGAGCATGTGACAGATGTCCGATGTATGTGGCTTCTTCAGGACTTTCCCGGTGACTTGTGCACATGTTTGGAGACCCATGGGGTATGCCATGATCATTGCTCTGCACGGTGCAATCTGACACAATTAGGTCTTGACATAGGTGCTTCAGCCAAGCAGCCGGCAGAAACACTGACATGAGGAATGGCGTGGCCAAGCGAAAGATGTCGGTGAGCTGTCACTGCGGAGCAGGTTGCGGGGGGGGCCAGAGGGGCTGTTTGGAGCTGTTTCTGCTCAACTTGTCAACGGTGTATGATTTAATTGTGCATTCAGCACGGCAGCACTCGAGATTTCCCGCCCCACTTGAGGACCTTCCATGACGTCTTGGACAGGAGATTCAGGCCGAGACATGAACCCCGGGGCGAGGAGAATGAGTGAGGGAGTAACATGAGTAACATGAACTGTACACTGTACAGGGGACATACAGGGGAGATGCAAGTTGTGGGCTTCACGCTGCATATTCGAGACTAGTGACGGCAATCGATTGTGATCTGGACGATGCTTCGTACTGCCTTGACTTAAAACAGTGCCGAAAGCTGTTCAGGTCCTTTAGAAACCACACATAGTTTCGATCACGACCAAGCGCAGCAAGATTCATCAATCCTCGCACAGCTTGCAAGTCCTCAGGACAGTAGTTGTGAGTAATTGCCAGGCACATCTCCACTCAACCCAACGGCATCTTGCTGCCTCAGGCAGCAATCAGACATTGGACATCCAGCTTCCTAGCGCCTTGGCATGTCAGAGCCGCCCAAAGGGGAAATCATTTTAGCCATAGAGTCTGCCCACGAAACCTCCAGCATTCAATCAACTGGGAGAACAATACCGTTTGTTTCTGACCAAGGCTGTTGCATGCTTCGTCGTGCGGATTCCAGTCCCATGTACCTTGGTTTTGCTTGTAACTTATACAAGGTTTCAGTAGCAGAGCAGGGAGCGATTCGTCTGCCCTGGAGATCTTTGCGGTGTCTAAGGTCTTTCACAGAAGCATTCCACTGGCTAGCCACGCCGCTGCTCGGACTGGTGCCTTAGATTGACTTTATAAACAGATCGCTCTGAGCCTCAGGCTTGTTGGCCTCAGTGCCAGATAGCTGCAATCGTACTGCAAGCTTAGAGTCATACACAGTCATACAGTCATACAGTCATAGTAAAGGAGTTATATGGACCTCAAATATGGTCCCTTCCCGTCTTGAAGTATGCGGCTTTATGCTGTATATGAGGCTCCCCAATTAATTAAGTGTCCATATGAGGGCCGCATCTAAGCAGCAAGTGACCCCGAGGAACCACCATGCCTGGCATTGCGGCGGGGGCGCTGGGACTTTCACCTGTGTTTTCATGGCAATCTGACGGAGGCGGGCACTGGGAGGGAGTTGGGGCGACTGCTCGAAAGCCACGTTCCGCGTCCTTATGTCGGAGATGGAGGAATTGAAGGCGGCGATCTGCAGCTGCTGTGCTGCACAAGTTGTCCAGCTGCTCAGGTCAATCTCAGCCGTTCGCCTGTGCAAAGCCCACAGGTGCGCCCTCCAGCCAGCGATCCAAATGCAGAGCCCAGTTTGGGGGGTCATCCGGATCATTCTCAAGCTGCAGAACTGTTGACACGTCAAGTTGCCTCCAAGGAAGCAGGAACTAACACCCAAATGTTTCAGGCAGCCAGTTTCCTTGGTGGCCCGACGCTGGGCGAGGCAAGACATCGCAATGAGCCAACGTGGGAAAGCTCCTTGCCTTGTCTCTTTGGCGAGGTGAGTCTTGTGCCAGCTGAACCTGCTGTTCCAGGGCAGGCTGTGATGGACGGCTTGGATCCTGGCAAGAGAAGCTTCAGTCTTGTGTGTTCTCAGAGATTTCTGATGTGGAAACCCTTTGCTCTTCCTCTGCTGCTTTGGGT